CCCACGCCACTCCTATCAACCCCCACCCGCACCACTCCTATCACCCCCTCCCCCGGACGCCACGCGCACTGTTTCGTGCAGTCCGGTAATATTCCAGAGCCTTCCCCAATAAGATCAAAAGATTGTAGCAAGTTTCAAGTTCAAGGCTTCTCACAAGCCAAGTTGAAACTAATTTCAAAAAAATCTTCAGCACCTGACACACATATATTTTCCATCATAGACTTCTGCGAGGACTGAGCCCTCACGGGGCCCTAACAGATGCAAGTGTTCTCGGCTGTGGGCCCCAGCAAGCCTTGTGCCCGCCCTAAGTGAAGGCGGGCCTGAATATCCACAAGAGGACTATTTTGAATTTTCGACATTTTTTCATATGTGGGTATACAGACAGTTGCAGCACGTCAGTTGGTTGCAGGAATCGCGAGCCGCCAGGCTCTTTCCAGAAAACAAGGACTGTGCTGTACTGTTGAGCCCAGGTGGTTGCACCCTGGGCACGCACAGTGTGAGGCCGACAAATCACGCAGCGGCCACGGACGAATGAGAAAGCAGGATTGTTGTCACACAATCTCCGCGAGCCAATGAGAATGTGGCCAACCCTTGGAGACTGGGAGGCTACCCATACGTGCCCAACCGAAAAGGGGCCCAGGCCCTGGGCGCAGAGACTGGGGCCCGACTGGAAGCTACTGGAAACTTCCCCAGCCAGGCCCACGCAGACACACACAGGGGCTGCACTTTCCATAAAAGAAAGAGGCCAGCCCAGGCAGGGCATTCTGGCCTAGGCAGGCAACGTGGACAGGCTGCTGCGTTGCTACGCAAGTGTCTGCATGGGCGCTGCTGGTCGGACACACACACGGGCGCTGACGTGAGGGGTGCTGCAAGGGCAGCGGGCGCACAGCAGCCATAGCCAGGCTGCAGGGGCGCAAGGCAGGTGATGGCGAACGTGGTCTTCGGGTAGGAGGCGCATGCTGTGGGGAGACGAGGGGTCATGACGAGAGGGGAGAGAACGTACCTGGTGTATGCTGGTGATCGGCATTGGTGTTGACGTCACATACATTGGTCTTCGACTTCAGAGTGATCCAGTTGCGAGAACGTAGATAGGTTAGATAGGCTGGGCGCTGGGCGCCAGACAGCAAGTGTGACATTGGATACAGTGTTGGTGTGACCAGAGAGTGGCAACATTGACATTTGAGTTCATTGTATTGCTCTTATCTGGACGGTATCTTGGTGCATTGCACTCTGTGCTTGGTTCATGACTATCTGAGCTACTCACCTGATTTTCCAACTTGGATTTCTGTCTATCGCTCTCGCTCATATTGCTTGCACTTCCTCGTCCTTTTTTCTCGTCTGCACCACTGCATGGGCAGATTGCCAAAAGGAAAAAAATAAAATAAAAGAATTTGTGATGCGCCCTTCTCACCTGGGATGCCAGGAAGTCTGGCCTTCGATGCATATTTCCAAGCCGTCTGCTGCACGCTTGAAAGTGTTGAAAGTGTTGTTGTCAACGTCGGCTGCACAGACTCTATGGTCTTTGCCACCAACCTGAGATATTCAACCCTCTTTGCTCCCTCCTTCAGAATTGCACTCCTGCAATCACACCCATCATCATCATCATCATCATCATCATCATCATCATCATGATGGACAGAGAGCCACAGACAGCAAGCGGGGCAAGAGAGCAAGAGACGGGGAGTTCAGACTGCAGGAAGAGAGAGGGGCAAAGGAGGAAGAGAGCCAAAGGGCAGAGAAAAAAAGAGGTTCCATCTCTCGCTTCCCCTCATATGCATGCACACAGGCCACTTTGTAATCAGACATGTCTCAACCTCGCTTACAACATGCATACATGTATGTGCCGATGACCAACCAACTTCATCGACTCAGAAACAGCAATGAACTTGCGATGGCGACATGCGCCCACACAAAAAGCTCAGAGGTACGGCCTCTGGCCAGGAACTCAGCTTAAGTCAACTGTTACAACTTGCGGCTATTGCCGCCGAACATTGTCTGAAGTCCCAACCGAACACTGTCTGCACCCTCGGCCTCACCCTCACACACGCACATACGCACGAAGATCCACCCTGAATGTCCACGCGTCACACACCCACATACTGCACTCTTGGTTGACGTCTGCAGCTTGGCGGTTATGGCCGCCGTCGGCTTCCTCCTCCTAGTTATGGCCGTCGTCGTCTTCCTGTGCCCACTTCAGCTTCGGGCACCTGCAGACCTCCACTGCACAAGTCGCTCCTAGCAGCACTTCTGCATGGCTCACAGATGAATGAATGAATGGCTGGGCGCTGCCAACTTATTTATACTGTTTCGTAGGTGGCCTGGCCTGCTGTGCCTCTGGCCCTGGGCCCAAACCGCGTGGGCCAAAACACGTGGGCCCTCAGCTGGTACTTGCTGACTGGACGAGGTGGACTGGCCACCTTGCTGACTCAAACGGGTGGACGGGGTCTACAACCTTCTAGAACCTAGGACTGACTCTTCGCTAACAGCTAGGACTAACCTATTGACTGACCCTTAGACTATCGAGGAGCGAGATAGAGACTTCCAGAAGGAACATAACTAAGCCTAACGGTAACACACTAAACTACTAACACGAAAGTCTATGGTTCAAGACCTAACGACTGATTAACAATTTAACACCCATACTAACTGACCTAAAGGGTTTAGGGACAGGGATGGTGAAACCGTTTCAACTTCTAGTTCGGTATCTAATAGGCTCTCTATCTGTCCGCTTCCCCTTGTACACAATGTGGGTGCGTGTGTGTTGTCCTGTTCGCTATACACAACTCCGCATAAAAAAAAAAAAGCACAACTGTTCCAGACTGCTTCATAGCACTTTCAGCGACTCGCCCGTGGATAGAACGTGTGTTTTAACTTTTAAGTTTTAACCAATCAGAACAGCAACCCGTATTTCGCTTGGATGCATAGATGTCATATTCCGAACAATCATACCATGCGATATTCCAGATTGATTGTTTGAAGTTTTGATGAAATGGCCAATTCAGCGCTGTACTGTGAATGGTGCAAGGCCTCCCATGACTGTGTTATGTGCCTGGTTGAGACGAGATACAGCGTGGCATCCACACATTACCATACGCATGAGCAATGTCAAGAGAATCTTAAAGAGCGAATCACACCACACCAGGTGAGAGAATACACAGCGGAAGCACTCAAAACCAAAAATAGAACTGAAAAATTAAACAATTCTAATTAATACTCCGCTCCCTCCAGCCAATCAACGCACTGTTTTCCCAAGAATCCCAACCACGTAAACAACACCCAGGAACCAATTATTTACAAAAGTTTCATCGAAGTGTCTGGGAGTCTTCTTCTTCCTCCCTCAAGTCAAGCTCTAGCTATGGCGCGACATAGCGCCCAACCAAACAACCCATCAGTACCCCCCAACCCTCCTGAACCTAACACGACACTCAGCAGTCCAATCATGACGCCCACTGCAGATGAAGTGCCCGCTCAACAGGGGAGAGTAGCTCTCTGGACGAAGAAGAAGAACTCCAGCAGGATGAAGATGGATGGCTGCCCCTTCAAACAGCACTTGGATGTCGAGCTTCGGAGGCAGCGATGTCAAACCCCAACAGCACACAAATTAGGAGGATGCGCCTACAGCGCTTAGGGCCTGTAAGCCCAGCGCTGTCCTCAGGTAGCTGGCTTGACCAGCTATGGACGTCAGCAACCGCTGATGAAGAAGGAGCCTGCACTACAGAAATTAGCGCTGCAGCCTCGACGCGACCTCCCAGCAGCACTTTGTGAAAAGAAACTGGGAAAAGAACCCGTCAAAATTGCTCTTCCCACTTTCGTACGACCTAGACTTCTACCGAGACTACAACCCACTTTTGTAAAACCTTAACTTCTACCAAGACTACAGCCTACCGGACTGCTAGGACTGAATCAACAACCTGACTGAACCTAGACTCCATACAGGCAAAAAGGGAAAGACCTGTGTGTCCGAACAACGGGCAACGGGGACCGTTAAATTCCGTTGATCCCCGTTGAATTGCCCCAGGGGCCCCGTTGAATCCCGTTTAACGGAAACACGGGGGTCTCCCGTTGAATCCGAAAAAACGGGATGGGCGCGTTGGGCCTCGGACACATGGCCCTACGCGCCCAAACACTTAAAACAGGAAAAACAAAAAATATATATAAATTGACCCCTATTGATTGACAGGGTGGGGTGGCGAAAAATGCCCCTCCCTCCCGAAAATCAAACTGCAAGACGGAAAAAAGTTGGGGCCACCCCATCCCCCAGCCCCTTGCAAGGCCCCACAGATAGCAACCATTGGGCAAGAAGAGAACACACACAAGTCTCGCCAAGATCTTCAAAGACAGAAGCCGAAGAGTGGATGCCGATTGAACTCGCGAAAAGAGGGTTTCAGGGAAAAAGAGAGAGGAAATAGTAAATACCAATCAGTCAACAAAATTTCAGCCCTCAGCCTCTCAAATGCCTGAACGCTCATCCTTGGAATCACATCGTCCTGCAGGAAAGCACCACATCCGTGTTTTTTTTCGGTTAAATCCAGTATTATTCATACCAAGACAAATACCAAATGAAACAAATGATGAGGAGCAATTACTGGCCATCATCATCATCATCATCATCATCATCATGTTCGGCAATTACCAGTGGGCCTAGCTCAGTTGGTACACACGCATGAACTGTTTAGGTACTACAGACCCAAGTTCGAATCCAGATGCCACTAGACGAATGAAAAAATCTGAATTACCTGGGAGGCTGGGACTGATCAGTTCGAGAATCATATCTCGAGGCCCTCGCGCCTTTTGTTTTTTTTCAAAGGAAGGCAGAAAAAAAGAAAAAGAAAAAGAAAAAACAACCATGTGGGAAAGCATTCATGAAGATACGAAACGCGTGAAACACGGAACCGTAACACAGCAAGAAGGAAACAACGAAATCTGATCAAAGAGTACAACAACGAAATTTGCTCGCTCATAACTCAGAAGAGCACGCAACAATCCCTCACGATGGCCACTCTTCGGCGCCCCACCTTCCTTCGCACCTCCTTCCCAACCCACTTGCCACTATCCCCGCGTGCCATCACTCCGACGCGCTGCATCAAATGCATAGCGCAAAGAGAGGACACAGACAACTACCATCTTCACCCGAATATAACGCCCGGTCATTATAGCCGTATTTGGGGCATTTTTCAGTCCAGATGCAGCGATAATGACCGGGCGTTCTATTCGGGTGAAGACGGTAGCAGCGGGCGAGGCTGTTAGTCCTTATCTATCACTTAGTCAAATGCATCCTGGCCAGACTGTTGGGATTTGGCACAGTCATGCTTCTACAGTCTGGTGCAGTCATGCTGTTTTTTGTGGAGTTAGTGTGTATCAAATTGGCAACACAAGCAAAAACCCTCTCTACTTAGACCGTGAGAGAGAGAGAGAGTTTTCATCGACGACATCAACTGGATGGCCATATTTCCTCCCAGTGTCACAGTTGATCTCCACATCAAAATTTCTCCCTGAACGGCCGTCTGTCAGCCATTGGCGTCATAAATGGGACTCAGCTGAAAAATGGGACTCCAGGGGAGATCGAACTGTGGAATGGGGCTATGTACCAAAATGGTATACAACTGAACAAATGGGGCTCGACTGGGAAACGGAACTCCGAACAGAAATGGGACATAACTGAGAAATGGGACTCAGTTGGGGAAACAGGACATCATTTTATGAAACTGTTAGCCTATGTGGATATGCGGACCTGAGTTGAAACGCGTGAGTCTGTATGTACAGAGAAGGAAAGAAAACGAGAAATTGAACCATCTACACATATACTTCAGATTACTTCTACATCATGTGTATACAATGCTTCAATTTCTCTCTGTGTCACAGAAAACATTCACATGCTAGGCTCCGCGGGAGAGTATAGGAGAAAGGAGTGCCAGAGTAGAAGGAGAAGAAGAATCGTGGGGGACCAAGGCAGGGAGGAGAAGAAGGTGTGTTGTGAGAGCGGCTCCGCGGCAGGTCCAACTTGTCTGTTCCAAAAAAAAAAACACAGAAAACAGAAAAAAAAGATGATGCTAGGCTGTCGCCCGGCCAGGCAAGCCCGGACCAGTTGGGCAGAGGGGGGGTCACCCGGCAAAACCAGACGGGTCGAAAAAGAGGCAAGGATCCCGAAAGAAAAGACTTCAGGCCAGGACTGCGCTTGGGCTAAGCACTCAGAATCCAGTCTTAACTCCGATTTTGCTGGTGTCATCCAGGGAGGGTTGGGGGGTATAAACCGTGACTAAAGGGGTTTAAAAGGGTACTGTAACATTTCGACTCATGTTTTCTCATTTTTTTTTTTAATATTAAAATTAACAAGGAATTTCAAGGTGGCACTCGGCCAAACGTTGTTCGTATTGAAATTTTACACAACATTTCTTTTCGGATTTTTATCTTTTTTTTTTTAATTTTTTTTTTCTATTTTCTTAATATTATGCGCTGGGACCGCCCGGGACCCTGCCCAGGCTCTGCCTGGCCTGGGCCGCGCGGGGACCAGCATGGAAGAAAAGGGAAAAAAAATCACATGGGGAAGCATCATATCCACACCACAGGCAACAAAGGAAACAGGTAACAAGCAGCAATTATCGCTAATGAGGAGCAATTATCGGTAATTAGCAACCAATAATTGCTCGTTAGCGATAATCTGATTATCAGTTGCATAACGACACCATCCTGCGGGAAAGCAACCAATGTTGCCGCACAATATCATCAACAGATTCAACAAAGGAAACAGAAGCTGAAGAAGTCATTATTGGCCGTAACTTTCTGGACAACGTAACATAAAAACATAACATACAGTCCTTCTGTACATCCGTTAAAATTGGAACGATGCAGAGAATTTTAGCATGACCCCTGCGCAAGGATGACAAACATAAATGGAGAAATGTCCAAATTATTATTGGAAAAAAAAAAAAAACATAACATATACAACCCAACAGAGAAGCGATTCAAAATTCCGTACAATGCAACATGCTGCAAACTGTCCAAAAAGCCTGCCGATCATGAAAGGCCTCGTGATTTCGCAATAGCCTCTCTCTCTCTCTCTCTCTCTCTCTCTCTCTCTCTCTCTCTCTCTCTCTCTCTCTCTCTCTCTCTCTCACACACACACACACACACNCACACAATCCCAACCCCACTGCCTCCTGAGTTCTTTTTACTGTGATAAAACTAGAAGGGTATCGAAGACTTTCATGGCGGCGGTTCCCCTACCAACCCAGCTCTCTCTGGACTTCCCTTTCTAACCTTGTTCGTTCTCTCCTGTACCATGCCGGTGGCCTTGCAGTTGCACCATTCGTGACAGCTTCTATTACTTTTCAAGGTTTCACTTGATTTGACGTTCCCTCTTCTTCTTCTTCTTCTTCTTCTTCTTCTTCTTCTTCTTCTTCTTTCTTCTTTTCTTCTTTTTTTTCTTTTTTTTTTTGACGTTCCCCTCTTCTCATCCTTCACGATTTGCAATTGTGCACATGACGTTCAGAACCAAGCTACTCATTGTTTTCCCACTGCCAGTACTGGCCATTGTGCTCCAGCAATATGACATGATGACATGTCTTCCCCACTGCCACAACATGTCTCACTGGGGAACACTGGTGGGATTCGCAGACGAGATCCAAGTACATGAAAGGCCTTCCACGATTCAGACCCCAAATTCGGACCTCAGGGTCAGATGCCCAGGTCAAGAAAAAGCCGAGTTCGTCAAACTCAGAAAGTCACAATCGGGTACCTCAGCAGTCTGGTCCAACAGGCACCCAGCAAACAGTCATGTCTCAGGGACAAGAGTCACGTCTCATAATAAAAGCCATTCAGAAGAGTCACATCCCACGAGTGAAAAGGGAGATTCACCGAGCAAAGGTCATGTCTCAAAGGCAGGAGTCACGTTTCCTAGTGAAAGTCATATTGAAGAGTCACATCCCACGAGTAACAGGTAGTATCACAGGCAAAGGTCATGACCCACAGGCAGGAGCCACTGTCCACAGTCAAAAGTCATGTTCACAAGTGAAAAGTCATGACTCAAAGGCCCAAGCAGCAGCAGTCCAACGAGTAACAGGTAGTATCACAGGCAAAAGTCATGACCCACAGGCAGGAGCCACTGTCCAAAGTCAAAAGTCATGTTCACAARTGAAAAGTCATGACTCAAAGGCCCAAGCAGCAGCAGTCCAATGGAAATTCGGGAAGGTTCCGGGCCTTGACATTCAGAAGCAGACAGGCCATGGGGATGTGGTACCGGAACCAGTCAGGACCCAAGAAACAGAGGCTGGCACGAGTTGAAGTGCAAACCAAGACTACAAAAGGACTGGCCAGCCTCACATTCAGGCAGATTGCTCATTCGCAAGAAGTGTGGAAGTGCTGGTGCACTTGTGCGCTAATGTGAGGGGCAGAGCGCTGAGGCCAGAGTGCTGCGCTAAGTGAGGAAGAGAGAGGAAGATAGCGCTGGCAGGGAGAAGGCAGCCATAACTGCACCAGTGCAGAAGTGTTAGTACTAGCAGTTAGTAGTAGACTTCAGAGGGATTAGTAGAGTTGTCAGTGGGTGTATTCAGAGCAGGTCCTTGAGTAGTAGATGCGTGAGGGCATGTAAGTAGGGAGAGAAGACACAGTGAGGTGGTAGACAGGGAGAAGATCAAGATAGAGAGAAGACAGAAGAGTTTTGGAAGAGAGACATACCTGAGTGAAGATATGGGATACTTGGGTTGCACTGTTGAGCGCTGGTGATTGAAACTCTTCATTGCTCATATGATAATTTGTTGAGATTATAAGCTGCGCTACCTGGTCTTCATCTTTCTGGTCTCCAGTGTGAAAATTTGTGTGATCTGATACATGCGTGTGGTGTGATTGTGTGCGCTCACTGGTGTTGAACTAAGAGGTTCATTGCATACACCACACCCCAGCTGTGTGTGTGAAAAGAGATGGCGACAAAGTTCGACAAACATGTTTGCATTCAGTCGCAGAGGATAAAGAACTAACTTCAAGTAAGAAGTACACACAACTCACCTGAAGCACAATGGTTGTGATGTAGTCGGCACATTCAATCGCCGCCTCCCTGGGAACACAAGGGGGTGTGGCGAAACTGATGCATGAGATTGCCTCTTTTGGTATACGATGCATGCTCTCATTCTTGCGAAGAATCATCGTTATCAGACATGCAGTCGCGCCTCCAAGCGAGTGGCCTACTAGTCGCAGATTGTAACCCTGAAGGCACAAAAGTTCAAATTGACAGCAAGTAACATTAACTCAATTGACATTAACATAATAATGATATTCTTTCTGTTTGTTTGTATCAAGTTATCAACCACAGATCTCGTCTCATGTTAGCAGTTTTTTTTTGTTGTTGTTGCAATTGCTACAGAAATGCAAAAACGGTTAGACAGAGTATTAGATAATTAGACACGGAATTTTTACTTTGGTTACAGGAATGAAGTACAAAAAAAGAAAAGTCCTTCGAAACATCCGTTAAAATCGGAACCATCCTCAGAAGACTAGAATGCGCCCCCTGTGCAAGGACGACAGACATAAACCCCCAAGGAATGGTCTTAAATGATTTAGAAAAAAGAAGGGGGAAAAAAAAAAAGACGAACAGTGAGGCACAGACAGCGCAGCGGTAGGTGGAGTGCTGGACACGCACTCCTGAAAGGCTGAAAGTATTATGTGTGTTTCAAAAACATACCACAGGTTAACCACTTTACTACCCAGATCCATGGAAATCCTATTGGAAGCACCTTTTCCCTGTCAACATTTTTTTTTTTTTTTTTCCCTAGTACCTTTGTCAGTTCGGAAAATAGTGGGCCTCCGACATTTCAGGAGGCCGAAACGAAACGGCGGCCGTCGATCAGATTTATCAACGACAGTCGTTATCGGCCCCAGCCTCCTAAAAATTCGGGAGCTGGCAAAAACTTGTCGAAACCGGACGCCAAAGGTTCTAGTGGTTTAACATGATAAAAGGACTGTGACGTACTTGCTGAAACAGCCATTTGAGTGCCATAAATTTTGAGTGGTGCAAGGCAATACCGTCTTCACCTGAACAGAACGGCCATCGCCCGATCAATATGGATGTATTTGTCGTAATTGCCAGTTAGGCACAGCAATAATGACCGGGCATTGGACCCAATTCGGCAAGACAAACTGGCATCATTAAGGGCAGTGGTGGTCACTGACAGCTTGGGTCGCACAGAAAACTGATGGCGTAGCAGGGTATTGCATACCATGGTGTGCGGCCATCCCCACAGACCAGGAGAAATGCACGTGTGTGCGTGCGTTTGTGTGAGCAAGTGAGCATCCAGTGCCATCCACATAAATTAGAGAGAAAAGAGTGAGGAAGGTATATACTCCGACTAAGACCTTTTGTACTAAGCTCTGCACGTCACTGCAGTCCGATTCATCCAGGCTGGACCGTAATTACAGTCACATACGTTCAGGAAAGTCCCAGTGTGAGTATACGCACACACACAAGCACAAAAGACCTCATGCAGCTCACTAACGCAGAGAACTTGTGATCGTAATCGTCATGCAGATGGAAACCTATATGCCAGAGCACTCAACAGAAGCAAGTAAAGCCAGTGCGGCTTCGCCGGCACACATGGAAATGTCAATGAGATATCCAGGTTCTACATAAGTATCCATCTTCAGAACCCATGCTCTCTCTC